CTTCTCCCCCCGCAGGCGCAGCAGCCGCCTCAGCCTGCCCCCAGCGCCGCTCCCTTGTAGCCGGCAGCAACAGCAGCGGCCGGCCAGAGACCGCAGCGCGGCGCTGCGGGGCAGGCAGGGAGCTGCGCGGGGGCGGCAGGCGGGGCCGGGGGAGAGACCGGCCCGAACATTGGTGGAGGCCGGGCACCACGTGTCCATGTAACTCGCTGCGCCGTGACGCAGAGAGGGGAAGGGACAGTTGGTTTCTCTTTCTTGAAGTTTGCTCAGGTTGTGGCTCTGGATTTCTGCTCTCATGTTTCCTGTTAGAGCAGCAGAGGGCTCAGCACAGGGAGGGGTGGCCATGCCCTCTCCGGCTCTCTGGGTCCTGGTCCCAGACCCCACCCCATAGAACTGCCGTTCTGCCCCCTCCAGGGCGATGGCTCCTTGGGTAAAACCTATTTTGGCATCCTTCTGGCTCCTGTCTCTCTGCTCTGTCGCCTTGGCTGGTAAGTGACCCCTGTTCTCCCGGAGGCCTGGGTCCCATTCCCATCCCAGTCTCTCTCCCCCAGGGCTGGGTGCTGCAGGGCCCCCTCAGGTCGCTGTCGCGGATGCCTGGGTCCCATTCCTATTGCAGTCTCTCTCCTTGCAGGGGTTCACCGTGTCTCCTATCTCCAGCTCATCTCCCCGCAGGCAGTCCCCGGTCTGCCCAAGCGGCTGAGTGTGATGAAGGTGAACGACCTATTGGGCTTAGCCTATGACAGCAACACCCGCAGGCTGGCTCCCCACAGCGAGTACATCCCGGGTGACCAGGAGACTGCTCAGTACTGGAGTGCAGGCAGTGCTGAATGCATGGACTGGGACTCCTGGGTAGAGACCAAGTACCAGGCCCTGGTGCAGGAGGTGAACACCAGCTCCCCACAGAGAGGTGAGTCCCTGAGCCCCAGCACTTGTTTTTTTTTTTTTTTTCATTTTATTTTTATTAATGGAGATATCCTATCTCCTAGAACTGGAAGGGACCTTGAAAGGTCATTGAGTCCAGCCCCCTGCCTTCACTAGCAGGACCAAGTACTCATTTTGCCCAAGATCCCTACATGGCCCCCTCAAGGATTGAACTCACAACCCTGGCTTTAGCAGGCCAATGCTCAAACCACTGAGCTATCCCTCCCCCTTCTGGCAAGCTGTCCCTCCCCACTTGCTCGGCTTTGGAAGGGGATGTGTGAATGGCTCAAAGGAAGTAGGAGGGAGCTGGGGGAAGGGTACACCAGAGGAGAGGGACTTCTCTGATATATAGTGTTTAGAGTGGGGGAGGGGGGCTTGGATTCTGGACTCCTGGGTTCTCTCCCTGGGTGTAGGAGGCAGCAGAGTCTAGTGGGTTAGAGCAGGGCATGCTGGGAGTCAGGACTTCTGGGTTCTATGAATGAGAACTTCTCACCCACTCTGGCCCCAGGTGGCAGCTCTGTGCTCAGTTGCTCACTCAGCCATTCTGCCCCCAGAGCCCTACTACATGCAGATCCTGAAGACCTGTGAGCTGGACGATGCCACTGGTGCTGTCCGAGCCATCACCAGATATTCCCTCAATGGGGAGGACATGCTGCGGTACCAGTCTGACCAGAACCGCTGGTTTTCGGAGAACCTGGCAGCCTGGCGAGTGGCAGAGCGCTGGAACCGTGAAGGGGAGACTTTTGCTGTGTGGAACCTCTTCCTGCCCGAGAAATGCAGGTTCTTGATCAAACTCACTCTGCCTTTCATCGCTCAGAAGACAGGTGACAGCTTTGCTGGTGCTCCTCACTCCCAGTCCACAGTCCCCTGCTATTCCATTCCCTGTGATTAATAACCCTTTCTCACTCTCCCTCTAGCCCAGCCCACAGCGCGTGTGGCCCTCGTCCCAGGGACCCTGGACCGGCCGCGCCGCCTCATCTGCCACGTGACAGGGTTCTATCCCCGCGACATCGAGGTGATCTGGGAGCGGGGGGGCCAGGTGGCCCAGGGGGAGCAGCTGACCAGTGGCATCCTGCCCAACGGAGACCTAACCTTCCAGATCCAGGTGTCCATTGAGCTGGGACAAGAGGCGGTTGGCCCTGCAGAGCACGTGTGTGTGGTGAGACACAGCAGCCTGGGGCGTGACTCGCTGAGGATGACCTGGGGTGAGTACTTGGGGGGGGGGGGAGAGCATGGGGAGCAGTGGGGAGAAGCTAGAAATGGGGCACCTCCTACTGAGGGAAGAGGAATGGTGCAGGTGGACACAAAGGGTAAAGGGGAGAGGTGGGTGGGAAATGCAAAGAGGGAGTTTTGGGGGGGCACAAGGGGATGGGTAGACAGAGAGAGGTACTAAGGGGAGGTGGAGAGAGGTCTTTTGGGGGACTCAGAGGAAGGGGAAGAAGAGAAGGGGCACTGAGGGGCTCACAGACTGGGATGGGGAGGCAGAAAGAAGGATATCTAGTTGCAGGGCAGACACAAGAGGGGTGGTGACTGGTGGGGCAAACTGGCTGGGGGAGGGGTGATGCTAGCCCAGGGTTATTGGGCAGGGAGTGGGTGGGACGCACAGGCTTTGGAGGGCCCATGGCTCAGTCTGTCTCGGTGCATTTCCAGATTCCCAGGTCACAGGCCAGGCTGGTGTGCTGGCGATCATTGCTGGCTGCATCCTCGCTATGCTGGGAGTCGGGGCCCTGGGCTGGTACCTGAGGAGGAGGCCAGGTGAGTGATGCCCCCTGCACAGCGCTCCCTGCAGCACAGCACTCCCTTCTGAGCTCCTGTTACTCTCCCTGCAGCAAGGCTCTCCCTTGCACTGCCCTGGGGCCAGCATGAACCAGGAGGGGATGGTGCCCCCTGCTGAGTCCCCAACCTGCACTATGAGCCTGGCCCTGCTTAGCAGGAGATCACAGGGGCTTCATGCTGAGGCCTCGCTGGATATGGGGGTAGTGGCTGTGGGAAGCTGCCCCAGCTGTGATCCCCATTGCCCCCCTCACACACCTTCACTGCAGGGGGTCAGGACCAAGCCCTGGATGGCAGAGTCTCAAGATGAGTCAATTCCTGCTTTGGCTTCCCCTGCAGGGGCCCAGAAGGGGCCGTATCACCCGGCACAGACACAGCCAGGGACTCTCTACTCTGCTCCAGCCACAGCTAAACCAGCAGGAAACTCCTCGTCCACAGCATCTTCTTGCTCAGATGCCACCGAGTGACCAGACTCAGAGCCGGCTGTGCCAGGGCCATCAGATTTGGCTGGAGCTACATGGAGCATCCCTGGAGAAGGGGATGTGCTGGGGGATCAAATATTGCTCATTTAATGGATCAAATACTTCTACTGCTCGCTTCTGTTCAAATGCTTAATCATGTTCCCACAGCATCTCTCTGTGAGTTTGCTTTCTGAGCGACACACCAGTCCCAGGCATCTTGGCTCCCCTGCCGATTCCACCAAGCTGCCTTCAGTTTCACTGCTGCTCCACGTTGGCAGGCTCACACATTTTAAAAGTTTCCTTCTTCATCCCCCATAAAGCCTTTGAGTAATTTGTAACCATTTCTGACCAAACCCCACTGACTGCAGACTGGTGAAATTTTACACTTGGCATGTCAATCAACTAAATATTGTGAAACAATATTTTCAGTAGATGTAACCCTAAGATACTTGTTGGATTTGTTTTTAATCGAGGGCATTTCAATCTTTTATTCAATTGCTTAGTTTTAATACAATTATTCTTTTTCCATTTGCCTATCACTACCATATAGGTTTTTACTTGCTAATGATATTTACTTGACACCACGGCTAAACAGAACTTTTGGTTAAAAGTGTTTAAAGGTGAAGCTCCATTTCTTATATTCACTGATGTGTCTTGGTGCCGGGTTGGTTTTTGCATCCAAAGCACACAGCCCTGTGAAAAAGAAAACACAAGCCATTGTGGCTCCTTGTTGGAGTTTCTTTGGGTTTTCAATTAAATAGCATGCCTTGTATACAGTTGTTTTGTCCATTGCGGTAAACACTCCATGTTTCATGGGAATGCACGTACCTTCCATAAAGCAACCCTTAAAAATCATGTTAGCTGATGTAGGGTCTGAATGAGCTCTCCCCTGACATCTAGTGGCGAGCTGGGGAAGAAGACTTCAGGAGCCAACCTTGTTTGCATTAACACACCCACGCTGCCTACGTGCTCAGCACGAGGGAGCTGCTTTGCCCAAATGATGACTTTCGGCTGGTGTTGGATCACAAGTCATTTTGTTATTGGGGGAGGAGTACTAAAGGTTGTTTTCTTTGTTGTGTGAACCAAGGGCAGCAGAACTGTGCATGGCATACCCTGTGTGACACTCTGTACCTCAAAGTAGCACACTGGAACCCCCATATTCACCACTGTCATATAATTATGATATGTGTCATACAGAGTATGCCTTGTGAGGTATCATTTCAAAAGTCTTGATCTGTTGAACATTAATATCCTGTTGGATTGTGTGTGCTGTCATTGTATGTGGAGTTATGAAGCATTGCTCTATCTGTCACTGAAATATGTTGTGAGGTTGAGAACACCCACAGCCAGCCTTTCAGTTACAACAAAGGAGTAGCCATCACCGACCAGATGGGCTTTAATGGCTCATCAACACCCAGTTCACTCTCCCAGAGTCTTCTCAGAGAAGGCATGTATGCCATGGGGGTGGACTAACCCAAGTCACAGAAAAGATCTTTCCAGCAAGCTGGAAGAAAGTATAAAAGAGGGAGAATGCCGTCATCACTTGGCCTCCTTCTCCCTCCACCCCAATGTCAGCACTTGGAAGCACGTCTGGAAGACAAAGACTTTGAACTGGGGAAGTTTGGTCCCAGGCTGGAAGGTTGTCCTAACCTGTGTATTGAGGGAATGTAACCTGCTTGTACCATCTGTTAGGGTGCTTGGTTCAAATCTTGCTTAGTCTCTTCAAATTAAAATTAGACTGCACATTTATTTTTGTTCCTTAGGTAACCAACTTTGATCTTGATGCTTGCTACTTATAATTACTAAAAGTCTATCTGTAGTTAATAAATTTGTTTTATATTTTACCTAAAATGGTGTGTTTTGGTTGAAATGCCTGGGCAAATCTCAGCTCAGGTTACAAAGGATGGTGCATGTCCACTTCCTTTCATGAAGTGGGGAACTAAGTAATGAGCTTACCCTGGCCAGGCTTCTGATGATAGGCCTGGCAAGATGATACAGTTCTGGGATGCAAGACCTGTGAGCTGGGGGAAACTGGCTGAAGCTTCTTTATTAATGGTTCATGAGTGGCTGGGAGATCATTCATGTAACTCAGTTGGATGTGTCCCTGCCCATGGATGTCTGTGTAAGTGCAGGACCTTCCAGCGGGTTGTAGCTTTACATCAGCATCAGAGTGTGAGAGGCAGCCCAGGTTGTTGGATTTGGAGGGCTCAGCAGTCCCACAATCCAGGCTGCACCCAGATGACCCCGTCACACCCTGACTAAGGACTCAATCTCAACAAAACTGCACTCGCTAGGCAGGAGACATGGGTGCCAAAGCCCAGGGGAGTTGAGAGAGGGTGGGGACAAGTACTTGTACCTGGTGGTTTGGGCCCTCCCTAGGGGTCCTAGACACCATTTGACCCTCCCTGTTTCCACTGTGTAATAACAGAGCTGATTGAGACTCAATGGAGAGCCTTGTTGCAGACCAATAGAGCTGAAATCACTGGTAACCAGGCCTAAGCATTAGACCGGCTTTGGGACAGTGTCTCTGATGCAAGAGACTGCCCAGCCTGCACTATCCATGAGACTCCCCCACTAACAGCTTAAATATCAGAGCTGTGTTACATGGTGGGACATCAATGCATCCCAAAGGGTGCAGAGCAGAATGGTGAGTAACCATCAGGGGAGCAGTTAGGGTGGTGAGGGACCAGCAGGGAAGCCGGCAAAGTGGTGAGTGGCCGGTAGGTGGCCAGCGGAGCGGAATGCAGCGGCGAGCGACCAGCAGGGTGGCCGGTGGAGCACAGAGGTGAGTGGATGGCAGGGAAGCTGGCAAAGTGATGAGTGGCCAGCAGGGCAGCTGGTGGAGCAGAACAGTGAGCAGACAGCAGGATGGCTAATACCGGAGCGAGCCCCTCGACAGCTGAGGAAGGAAGGTCCCCCCATCACCACCAGGGTAGGAGGAAGGCTCTGCAGATTCACCTCTGAACTCTGGGTCTTCATTGACCAAGGACAACAACTGTGAGTGGGGTGCACTGGAGGAAGAAGAAAGGGACACGTTAAAGGAACTTTTGGTTGCTGGACTTAAGAACTTAAGGCAAAAGGACACTGCCCAACGTACTCTAGGGTTGGTGTTTTGCTCATTGTTTTATGCTTACAAATCCTGCTTGCAGCATTTTCCCAAGTTAAAACCGGGTTATCATCCCCCTTTGTATTAAAAATTTCTTTTCTACATTCAGACTCTGTTCTTGCAAAAGGGGAAGTATTGCCTTTATAGGCACCCAATGGGTGGTATGTAATTGTACATCCCAGTTTTTTGTCTCAGTCTATAAATGTCAGGGTACCTTGCCTTATCCCTTTGTGTGGCCTAGGGGACAGAAGAGACTCCTGATGTTGACTGAGCTGCTCCTTGCCACTGGACACTCGTGTAAATGTACCTGTCACCACGGAGCCAGGGCACTAGGACTGTGCCTTGAGAGCAATACACCTGGCCGAGTGCCTTTGTCACCAAACTATGCCTGTGGTCCTGTATGAGCAACATGGAAGTCTGCTGAATTATCAGGCTGCACTATCTGCTATTAGGGTTGCCAACATTGTATTTAAAAAATAAGGGACTGTTTTCTTAGCACCCCCATCCTACCCTTCCTCCCAATATCATTATTAATAATAATACTAAGCAGGACTCACCTACATTTGCCAGGAGTGTTTCTTGCTGCTTTTTGGCAGCACTGACAGTGGTCTTGGCTGACAGAACCAGGCTCCCTGCCTGTCTTGCTCCCCCATTGGTGCAGCTGCAGCAGCCACCAACCAGCAGTTATGCTCCTGTACTGGGTTCGTGGCAGAGCTTTTGCAAGAGAGGAGGCTACACCCTGGGAGTACTGACCCCCCGTCAGACAGAGCCCCTTCCTGACTCTGGCCTTTCAGCACAGCTCTAGGGTGCACAGCCCTGTCCACTTGCTCTGCCATACAGAACCTGTGCAGGGAAAGCAGACGGGGTTGCACTCAAAGGCTTGAGCATGGCCCCATCTGCTTTTCCTGTGCAGCCCTCAAGGGCCAGGGTCCAGAGGGGAGTGGAAAGATGCACCCATGTGTAGTGGCTCTCTGCTGTTGAAATACAGGATAAGGGGTGTACCAACCAGGGGCGGTCCAATCATTGTGGGTGCAGGAGGCCATGCCACCTCTCCCTTGCTGCACATGCTCCAAGTGGAGAGCTCAGATAAAAGGAGGCATCCCAGGCCAGGGAGGAGGGAGTACATTGTTGGCTCCCACAGAGCCCCTGGTGGTAAAGCTCGAGGACCTGGACTGCCTGCCAGGCAACTGTGGAGACCACCGTGGAAGCCGAGCCGCTGGGGGTGAGGAAGCTGCCAAAACTATGCCCCAGCCCTGAGAGATGTTAGGCTTATAGACTGATTGTTTGCTTGCTTCACCCCACCCCGGGGCTGCAGCCTGCTTGTTGCTTCACCCTGACCTTGGGGCTAATTTCCCAGACTGTTTGACTGCTTTGCCACCCCAGCCAGGAGGCTGCGGGGCTACAGACTGTTTGATTGTTTTGCCTCTCGGAATCCATGGGTTATCTGTTTAGGTGACCCCGTCCGGGGGCCGGGCCACACTTGGCAGAAATCACCCACTTAACGGGGAAGCCCGATGACCGAGTGGCGGAGCGGGCCACCCCCATACTCGACTGACGGGGTGCCCCAACTTGACCATCAAGGCCCCGCCCGTCACAGCATCCAGTACTGATTGAGTATGGGACAGGCCATTTTCTATTTCAATAAGGGACGTCCCTTGTAATATGGGACAGCTGACAACCCTGGCCTGTGCCGATAACACTGGAGCTTCTGGGATAAAAGCACTGAGTAGCTGGCAGAGCTCCAGCAGTCTGAGCAATGTTACTGAGGCAACGACATTCCAGCCTTCTGCACTTAACGACATCACCCACAACGTTCTGTGTCTCTGCATAGTCCCAACCAATTGCATCAGCTGTGTGTTGGGTCACCTGATGACTAGTCTGCTGTGCTCACACGAACCCCCCCCCCCAAAGGAACCCCATGTTATAACAGAGACAACTTGGAAACATCAATAGGAGTTATTAAGTCTTAATTGTGCTGTTGGGGAGCAAGGCTTCCTGTGACGCAGTGAGAAGGGGGGATGGGATGATTGATCTGTCTTTATTGAACTTTCCTCAGCTTTCAGAGTGGTAGCCGTGTTGGTCTGTGTCAGCAAAAACAACGAGGAGCCTTTGTGGCACTTTAGAGACTTAAGAAATTTATGTGGGCATAAGCTTTCATGGGCTAGAACACAGGTGAACACAGACCCAAACCCTTGGATCTCCTGTACCAATTGGTGAGGATTATTCTCAAGCCTGCCCAGGAAAAGGGGCATAGGGGGGATATTGGGGGAAGGTAGGGCTCCAAGTGGCCCTCCCTAAATGTTTGTTTAAATCACTTGGTGGTGGCAGCGTTACTTCTTCCAAGGTATAAGGAAGAATTTGTGCCTTGGGGAGTTTTTAACCTAAGCCGGTAGAAATAAGCTTAGGGGATCTTCATGCGGGTCCCCACATCTGTACCCTAAAGTTCAGAGCGCGGAGGGAACCCTGACAGTCTCTATGCAAAAGAATAAATGAACACAAATCTGACATCAGGAATCATAACATTCAAAAACCAGTAGGAGAACACTTCAATCTCTCTGGTCACTCAATAACAGACCTAAAAGTGGCAATTCTTCAACAAAAAAACTTCAAAAACAGACTCCAACATGGAACTGCAGAACTGGAATTAATTTGCAAACTGGATACCCGCAGATTAGGCCTGAATAAAGACTGGGAGTGGTTGGGTCTTTACAAAACCTAAACTTAATTTCCCCAATACTAATTTCTCCCTACTGTTACTCACACGTTCTTCTCAACTGTCTGTAATGGGCCACTCTCTTACCACTACAAACATTATTTTT